TCTTTTTTTTTTTTTTTTCCCTTCTCCTTTTCCTCAGCCCGCAATTAAAGCTGCCACCTGAGGAAATGCGAACGCACAATTACAACAGACATAAAAGACTGCCTTATCTTCTCCCTAAATGTCTCCCCCCTTTTTTTTTTTTTTTTGTTTTTTGTTTTTTCTTCCCCTCTCCTGACTGATGCAGACTAAATTCACAGCTCGTATGTCTTGAAACCCGGGAATGAATCGTCCACGTTGAAAAATGCTGCTTTGGATTGTTCTGCTGAATGCGGCTCTTTGTGTTGCTAGTGGAAATGTTACAAGGGACGTTTGTAAGGAGCAGATATGCTCTTGCAACGAGGTAGAGGGAGATCTGCACATAGACTGCGAAAAAAGGAGCTTCACCACTCTGCAGCATTTGACTGGCCCCAGCTCGCAGTTCTACCACTTGCTCCTGCACGGAAATTCGCTATCCAGGCTATTTCCCAACGAGTTCGCCAACTTTTACAATGCAGTGAGCTTGCATTTGGAAAACAATGGCTTGCACGACATTGTCCCCGGCGCCTTTCTGGGCTTGCAGCTGGTGAAAAGGCTGCACATCAATAACAATAAGATCCGATCATTCAGGAAGAGTACGTTTCTGGGGTTAGACGACTTGGAATATCTACAAGCTGATTTTAATCTATTGAGGGATATTGACCCCGCCGTTTTCAGGGACCTAAATAAACTTGAAGTGTTAATACTTAACGACAACCTCATCAGCGCGCTACCTATAAACGTGTTTCAACATGTGCCCATTACGCATCTCGACCTGCGGGGAAACCGAATCAAAACGTTGCCTTATGAAGGGATCCTTGAGCAAATACCGGGCATTGCGGAGGTTTTGTTGGAGGACAACCCGTGGGACTGTAACTGCGACCTGGTTTCTCTTAAGGAATGGCTGGAGAACATACCGCATAACGCGCTCATTGGGAGGGTGATATGCGAGGCTCCCACCAGGCTGCAAGGGAGCGACCTGAACGAGACGTCAGAAGCGGATCTGTGCCCTTCACAGAGCGGCGGCGTGGACACCAGCCTGGTCGCCCCTCCCACCCAGGAGGAGACCTCGGAGCTCCACGGCCCTCGTCCCACGCCTTACAAGCCCCGCGGAGACGCCGCCGGGCCCCCGACGCCTGGCGGCCACGGCTCCAAGAGCCACTCCAAATCTCGTGAGAACTGGCAGCTGAAAACCAAGCCCACTCCGGTGGTGACAGGTGTGAACGGGGACAGGGAGCAGCTGCACAACATGACGTGCCCCCAGCCCTGCAACTGCAAGCTGGTCGGCTCCAGACAAGGGCTGGGGGTCAACTGTGAGGGCAAAAAGATCGAGAGCCTGTCCAACCTCAAACCCAAGCCCTTGGCGGCGCACGAACTGAACATGAGAGACAACAACATCCACGCAGTGAAAAAGAACCAGCTGCTCGGCTACTCGAGCCTCAACCTGCTTGATCTGGGCGGGAACAACATCAAGGTGATCGACAACAGCACGTTCCAAAACCAGAGCGAGCTCAGGTGGCTGTACATGGATAAGAACTACCTGGATACACTGATAGCAGAGATGTTCGTGGGCCTTGTGAATCTGGAATATCTCAGTTTGGAATACAACGACATCCAGCTGATAGTGGCAGGTGCGTTCGGCCCCATGCCAAACCTGAGGGTTCTGTTCCTCAACAACAACTTGCTGAAATCTTTACCCGTGGATGCTTTCCTTGGGATTTCTTTATCCAAAATCAGCCTGCATAATAATTATTTCCCCTATCTCCCCGTGGCTGGCGTCTTAGACCAGCTCAACTCAATCATACAGATCGATTTGCACGGGAACCCGTGGGATTGCTCGTGCAACATCGTGCCCTTCAAGCAGTGGACGGAGAAACTCGGGGCCGACGTGATCGTGAGCGATCTCAAGTGCGAGTCCCCGGAAGAGTTCTGGAAACGCGATTTCCGATACGTGCGGAACGACCTCATGTGCCCCAAACTGTACGACAGAGTACCCCCCACGCCCCTGTCCAAAAACAGCACTTTCACCCTGGACTCGGGGACGCGCTCGAACTCCTACTTGGAGCCGAACAGGGTCTCCATCTCGGTGCTCGTCCCCGGGCTGCTGCTGGTGTTTGTCACGTCTGCGTTCACCGTGGTGGGAATGCTTGTGTTTATTTTGCGGAATCGCAAGCGGTCAAAGCGGAGGGATGGGAACTCCTCCGCCTCGGAGATCAATTCCTTACAGACAGTGTGTGACTCGTCTTATTGGCACAGCGGGCCTTATCACGCAGATGGGGGCGCGCACCGGGGCTTCGACTGCAGCACGCACCTCTCCACGACAAACGATGCGTAAAAACGAACCAGGGGGACTCTGCTATATAGTCTAGTACAATAAGCCTCTACCAGACTGGATTACAAACAGTCACACAAGACAGACTGACGCACACATGACAACACAAAAAAACTGCAAGAATCATGCGCTTTGGTTCGAACTTGTTTATGTCTTGTTTTCTCCAGTTGAACCAAGTAAGTCAGTCTGCTGCTGCACAGGCCCCACTCTGTAATATATGTATATGCCAAGCCCCCCTGGCTAAAACCCCTCCTTCCCCTTCCTCCCTCCCTCCCTCCCTCCCTTCCTCCCGATTTGCCGCAATCGGACTACGGATCTGTATGAGACAGAAAAGAGGGAGAGGAGGAAAAAAAAAAAGAGAGGGGGAGAGGAGAGGGCGTGTGTGTGTGTGTGTGAGAGAGAGAGAGCGAGAGAGAGAGAGCGAGAGAAAAACCGAGGACCCCGGAGGAATGGTGCACGAACGCATGAATGTAAATGTAAATACTCGGACCGATGTATCATAATCTGCATGATGATATTTCGCATGGTTTCAACACACACACGACGGCGAGGAACCATAACCACCATAACCAACAAAGAAGCAAACTCGACCCTTTTCATGTTATATCAATATGACGACTATATATAGATATTAAGAATTATATATGACTATTACAAAGTGCCATTTCTCTATTTTTTGTGAACCTGCAGTTAGGATTTGTATTTGTTGTTTTAAAACTTGTTTGGAGAAAAGAGACACACACACACATGAGAAAAAAAAAAAGAATAATAATCAAAAATGATGACTATCGGAGAGGAAGTGATGGAAGTGAAGCTGTCAGTGCATGTTCTTTTTTCTGTTTGTTATCATTTGATTGTCGATAAATATTGGGGTTATTTATACCGTATTAGATGGTGCAGATTAAATCCACGTCTGCGCAAGTCATCATCTCCTTTATGAATGTAAAACTGTGTTATTTTATGGTGTGCCAATTGTTGACTTTCAGATATTCAGACATGCAGATGAGCATGACCAATTAACGTCACTCAGATGCTTATGCTGCAAAGTTAATGTAGCTAAAATAACAGTTCCGTGGTTTTTTGTGTGTCAATGAATATAGCCTGCTTTGGGTGAGAGGAAGACTAAAAAAAAAAAGGAAAAAAAAAAAAACAATAAAAAAAAAAACAACAAGAAGTCATTTAAATGGGGGGTTTATACCATCATATTTTTTCAACAAACTGAGCAAAGAAGTGTTTTCAATTGAGCTATGTATAATTCGATCTATGTAAAACAGGTAGACATGATCTAGAGTAGAATGCTTTTTTTAAATGTCAGAAAAAAGAAGTATTCCTCCACATAAAAAAGCTTATGGCTATGATTCACTTTCATCATATTGTGAGCTTTTGTAAAGCCATCTAATCTTGTCCAAATAAGACAACTGAAACTCACTGTATTTACTACAAAATGTGCTTGAAATAGGCTGTGTTGGGGGGGTGAGTCTTGCTTTTTTCTCAACAAACTGGGCCACGTTATGGCAGCATGTGGCCGGTTCATGGTGAAACAGGAGGACAGAGAGATACAGGGCACAGTACCTACATACAGAATTAGATAATGCAAGATGCCTTTTTTTTTTTTTTTTTTTTTTTTTTTCCTTCAAATCAGCATTTTGAACTTGAGGTACCCTTCTGGAGGGGAAGTCGGTGGGGTCGCATGGTTTTTGTGGGCTCATGAAAACAATGCCATGACTGAACAGCTGTTTTTGCAAAGAGGAGGAGGGGGTCTGCTGCTTAGCCTATAACTGCTTGAACTGGATTTAGGTGAGGATAAGAAAAAAAAATGCATTAAAAAGTTACTTAATTCCAGTATTCCAGAATCGATCGACTCTGCAGTGTCTGAAACAAATGTGAGGAATGTGCAACTTCTTTTTTCTTTTTTTTTAGATTTGGCTTTTAGTTTCATGGTTTGAATTATGATGTAAAAAAATTCCAGTGCTGGTTTGCCAATTGATTTTCTTTTTAAAACGCCCGACTCCGAGATGCCTCATTTAGACACAATTTCTGCATAATTTGGGTGGACAAAAAAAAAACAGTAGTTGATATGCCATGGCCATGATGAGAGTGTACAGAGTTGATGTGAGATGGATGGGCTTACACCCCCTAACTCCCCCTCACCCTCCTCCCCCCGTCTCCACCCCCCACACACACTTGCTAGTAGGCCTACAGTATCTCCCCCAGTATGCAGGCTAGCGCTGTCCATGGTGCTGAATCATCAACCCCCCCCCCCACTCCTTCCATCCTATGCTTTATCTTTTGTTGCCCCGTGTCTGCGTTTGCACGGGCATGCAACCCCCATTACACGTGTGCGTGAGGACATATGAGAGAAAAAGTTGACCATTTGCATGTATGTGCCCCCCACCCACCCCTCCACCGCGTCCCAAATATGGAACAGCTCGACCGTGGGGACGAACATCCCAGCAGATCTGTGACAAACACTCATCATCACCACCCTGCATTTAGTCCAGTCACCTTGCTCACCCCCTCCACCTCACCCCCCCCACACCCAACAACTCTCCCCCACCCCGTTTCCCTGCTTTCCGGTCAAATCACACAGAGAGGGGGAGGAGTGGGGGAGGTGGGGGTAACTATGTGTCTCTTCTGTGGAGTATTTAACTGTGCCACAGCCCACTGATGATTTGTCATAATTTTCAAACGCTGTGTTTCAAAGTTACATTTATATGCTTTGCGATATTTGACCTGCTTCTATTTTGTTAAATAAAGTGTGGTTGAGGTTGAGTAAAAAAAAAAAAAAAAAAAAAAAGTTTGGTTTTAGGAATTTTTCATTGCATTTGACTGAGTTGGTGTAATGAGACATGTGACAGGCCTGATTCATCATCTGTTTATGTCATGTATTTATTGTTTTTTTTTT